TTTTTTTTTTTTTTTTTTTTTTTGTGGTAGCGGGATCAAACTCAGGACTTTGTGCTTGCCAGGCAGGTGTGGCATCACTGAGCTAAATCCCTGATCCCCCCCGCCTTTTCCTGTCCCTCCCTGTGGCACATTTAGCTACTACAATATTGATGAAAAAAACGGGGTGGGAGCTGCAGGTATACCTCAATGGTAACTTGCCTCAAATGTTCAAGGCCCAGAGTTTTATCCCCAGCACCACCATTATCACCAAAAACAGCAACAACAAAAAAACCTATGACCAAGATGGATCACAGAAGAGACAGAGTTCAGGCCAGAGCTACCACTTTCTCAGCTCATCCCAGTTGTGTATTAAAGAGAAGCATAGACTCCTCTAGGGGGAAATGTGCAAAAAGAATGGAGGAGGAGGGGAGCTAATGATGAATTAAAATCCAGCTGCAATTTAAAGTTGATACATATGAGAAGAGTGCAGGCTGGCTCATAATTACAGCTAGATCTGTGCAAAGGAACCATTGAAAAAGAGGAAAAAGGTACTTGTAAAGGACACGCTGGCCAGACCCACTCCCCTGTTCTTCCCATATTCATTACCACACAGAGCTCACAAATTTTGTCACTGTGTTAACCATGGTATGATGATAAAAATAAAAACATATGCTGAAATTTTCATAATACTAAATTTATTCCATTTAAAGGAGTGTTTTATATTCTGAGATTTTATCCTTTTTTCTTTCTTTAGTCCTAAGATGTTTTTGTATAGAATGACAGTAAAAGTGATAATTGATATTTCTTATTTGCTTCCCTGGAAATTTAGAAAACTGATCACTCTCTGTTGTTTCCCCAGTTTAATTAAAAGGGATTTTTTTTTTTTTTGGTATTGCACTGATTTGTGAAACCAATTATCTGTTAATTTCTTACCTAGAAAAATACAAACCAAAGAGAAAATGGTTCCCAACCTATTTAGAAGAAATATCAATTAATTAACATATTCTTTAAGCAGAAGTCTTAACAAAATCTTACTTTTGATTTTAAACAGCTCTCTCCAAAAAACTATTCCATGAGCATATCTTGTTAATCATAGCAACTACTGTTAAATGATTAATGAAACACTTCTTCATAACCTCTGACAATTTGACAGGAGTGTATTTAATAATAGCAATAAATACAGATGGAACTACATAAATTGAGGAGGTCCACATGTAAAACTCTTCTTGTATTAGATGCCATCTCAGCCTTCTCATCTGAAATGGACCAAGAAATTAATTATAATGATGATCATAACAATATGAAGAAATTCAGAACAAAATCCAACCTCTCAGACAGAATGCCTTCATTCTTGTTACCCACTGCCCACTTCACATATGCTGAAGCTGACGGACTAAAGGAAAGCGACAAAGAGAAGGAATGTTTAGGCTGAAGAATATGGCCCTGACCTTGTCAGGAAGGAGCGCTACAGCAGTGACTTCCCTCCGGGTTAGGCCTCTTATTAACTCTGTGTGGCAATGCAGTTGCATAACCATTGGCCAAACTTGTTTTGAGGTAGGCATATCTCCAAAGGTGTTCTCAGTTCTAGGCAAGCTTCCAACCTGCCTTCCTCTAAAGTGAAGGCAGATTTTCCTGTGCTTCCTATTCTCCAAACCCTTTCACCTTTCTGCATGACTCATCTCTGAAAGAGTACTCACAGGGCTGTATCCATATCAGGGTCTCTCTTTTTTATGCAGAGCTAAAATCAAACACAACAAGAGCAATGAATCTGCTTGCTTTTCTGAGGCCCACGGGTGAATACAGTGTATGTATCAAAGTGGCTTAGGGATAGTTGCTGTGGAAATACAGCCACCTCTGAACTGGCTCAGGTCTCATTTCTTGGCCACCTTTACCATTTTTATTGAATTTGGAGAAGATGTAACTCTTAATCAGTTAAGCTTCCATGCTTAGACAGCTTCATATTTCTTTTTTTCAATAGCAAAAATTGCTTTGGCTTAGAACATAGGGTAGGTTAAACTCCTCCTTGGGAAACATTGTTGCCTTGAATAATACTGAATAATGCTGAGTTATGTACAGCAAGGAAGATGACCCTTGCTGACTGATGAACTCAGCATAATGGCATTTGTTTAGTGACCTTTCTGCCATATTTGCCCTCTTTTAACACTGAATTAACTGGCAGAGTCAAACATGTGGCATTAACTGAAACATATTTAACAATGTGCTTAAACCACTCAACAACTCAAATTCCAGCCCACTCCAGCCAGGGCATATGGCTGTACTCAAGAGGTGAGCATTCAGATCTCTGAATCCAGAGCAGATGTTCTTCATGCTTACTTATTGAATCACAGACACCATAGCAACAGTAAAGAGACATTTTAAAGGAAGAAAAATCAACTCAAAATTCCCTACTCCTAACACCAGAGCTATTTTTATCCAGGCCTCACCCATATTTACTTCTATTCTTTGAAAAACTGTACTCATAATATGTGTATAACTTTTATTCTCGTGAGCAACTTTATTTCATTTGCAGTGCTTAAAATTTAAAGCATGCACCTCAGCACTGAGCTATATCCCCAGCCCTTTAGATGACTTTTTATTGCAATAGCCCAGAATATTTAGATACCTTCATTATTCTTTCCCTTCGTGCAAACAGTCCAAAGCACAATGTCAGGAAGACTACAACACATGCAGCAATAATGGCTTCTATTGGTATAGGTGCAGTTTTATCTGCAAAACAGGGAAGAAGAATGAACATTATGTGCTTCTAATATGTCCCAGACATGAGGCCTTGTGTTTAACTAAATCCTACCAACACTCCCAAAAGGTGGATGGTATTGTCCTCATTTTACAGGTGAGGAATTAGGTGCTTTGAAAGGTTAGGTTACTTGTCCAAAGTCACAGACCTAGTACAGAGGCAGGCTTTGAATTCATTCTTTTGTGAAAGAATAATTTATTGTAGTATGAATAACTCCCTCAAAGCAAGTAGACAATTTTGTGCTTAACCTATCATGTTTGCCACACAGAAAACAGAAGCAGGCTGAAGTCAATGGTTTCTCTTGTTTGTTGAAAGGCTCAAAAGATGTTAAGAGGTATCCTAAAGGGAGGAAGAGAGGGGGAATAGTTTTAAGAACAAGAAGACAAAGGATGGGGAGCTCTCTGGACTAAGAAGAAGAGATCTGTGGGCTCTGGGAACAGTAGGGGGAATCATCAATTGTACCTCCACTAAGTGTCCCAGCCAGGTGACAAGACATTTTAGAAAGTGGCTGCATGGTGTCCCTAAGGGAAGTGGGACTTCCAGCATTAGCCTTTCCAACTTTGGCAAACATTTCCCATACGCTTTAAATGATCAAGAAAGTGTCAACTTCTTTTTCCAGTACTGGAAACTGAACTCAGGGCCTTCACATTGAACTATAGCTTTTTAAATTTTGAGATAATCTCATTAAGTTGCTAAGTTGCTCAGACTAGAATTTGCTATCCTCCTGCCTCAGCCTCCCACAGAATTAGGATTATAAATGTGTACCACCATGCAAGTCTCAGAGTAATCTACATCCATTGTGGACCATGAAGAGATCATCAGTAGTCAAACAGCTTGGAAATTAAGCCCACTTCCTTATTTTCTAAGCACCAGGTAAACTCAATTATTTCACTAATCGGTCACTACAGATATAATACTTGCATTTGCAAATGTGTGCAAAAATATTTGAGGCCTGAAAAAAAATATTGGCTCCAAAATACAAAAAGAAAGTGACAAAATTAATTTTAGAATGCACATTTAAACATCAATAAAATGTGATCATGTGTCAACTCTAACCCTTGTCAAATAATAATATTTCATCTTCAAGAATAAAATTCACAACTTATTTATAACAAAATTCAAAATTTAAACAAATTATAAAAGTCCTTTCAAAATGTTTACAGCAAAACCCCACATGTAATGTGCTTTATTTTAATGTGTTTCATAAGTTATGGGATGAAATTCTCAAAACTGAAAGTGCCAAGGATCAATGAAAGTTTTTAAATAAACTTATGTGAGCCCGGGAGTCTAATGCCACCAGAGGAAGGAAATGGGCTCCAACTATGACTTAGATAAGATTTTAGGGATTTAGAGAAAATAGAAGGTGCTATTTATTGTACATTGAGCTTGTGGACTGAAGTGGAGTCAGTAAATATGTACTGAGTGACTAATGCATAGAAGGTGCTGGGCTTGACCCTCACAAAGAATAGGACAGGCATGGCAGGCTTCTGTGCTCATGGAGTTCCTGTTCTAGCGGGAGATCTCGATATTGAACAAATAAAAACTGCAGGTTGAACTATATATTATAAAGAAGAAAGGGTCATGAGATGGCATATGAAGGGTGAAAGGTGAAAGGAAGGGAAGAAGGGGACTAGATAAATCTAAAAACAAGGTCCTAATGCCTCAAGATTATGACATAGAGTTTATCCCCCCATAACTGTATAACACACTAACCAGTTGTGTTTTAATTACTCTCTTCCCATTATTTGCCAATTTCTCACAATTAATCTTGGGGATTAATGGATTAAGGGTGCTTTACTTTTTGCTTTTTATTATTTTATTCTTTTTTCTCTTCCTCCTCTCCCCTCCCTTTCCACTTTCTCCTTCTACCCAGCTACTCTCTTCCTTTCTCCTCCCCTCCTCTTTCCCTTCCTCTATCCCCTCTTTCTTTTGGTGCTGGGAATTAAACCCAGTGTCTCATACATGCTAAGAATAAGCCGTACCACTGAGCCCCGAAACATCCTTCATTTTTATTCTCTCTTGGCTATTCTTGAAAACTACTCTTAGGAAAGTGTGTGTCCCATCAACCCTCTGCAGAGACTTTGCTCAGTGGGCCTGCGGGAAGCTCTGGCTCTGTAATAGCCACCTCTGGTGTACACCAAAACCTTACTAGGGACACTTCCACTTGCATACCATGGAAAGGCGTCAAACAAAGGAGAAGCGCAGCTGGCTGGGATGAATTGGAAAAGAAATCAGAATTCAGTCACAGGCTGGAATATTTTTACCTAGCCAAATAAAATGCAGATGTGTGTGACAGCTTTCATATCATAAACAAGCTGAAATAAACCAATCCATTGGCTCACTTTGATTCCAAGTTTCTGTTGAAAAATGTAATTGCACCTCTCTCACCTTTTCTGTTTTTACACTCTCATTTGTAACCAGATTTGGTGTCCCCTCCCCCTTATTCATTACAGTAAAATAATTCCATACGTGTGCTAAGTCTTATGCTCAAGAAAAGCTCCATGATGTCATTTCCGGCTTTGCATGGCCTCATTTAGAAACTTCCCCACTGAGCAACAAAGCTGGGAGAGTCTCATTGAAAGCTTGGCTGTTAGCCTGAGCACCAGAAAGCAGAGCGCTTATGTTATGAAGGCAGCCAACAGCAAGGGAAGTAGCAAAGCAGAAGAAATAAGAAAAACAAGTTGGTTTGGAAGAGCTCCACCCAAAACAAGTCTATGCCCACCTGAAAGGAAATTTGCTGATTGCCGTTCAAGTTGTATGCATGTAGCATAAAACAATTACAATTTCTTCTTAACAGGAGGAATGATATAATTTCCTAATTTCCAACTGTGATCTTACAGCCAGATGGGAGAGCATGATGTGATGCCATCCTACCATGCTTCTGTGGTCCTTGGGAAGGTAAAAAGCCAGAAGCTTCAAGGTGATGTCCCTTGCATTGCTTTTGTCCCAAGGATTGATTCTTAGGTTATATGTGAGTTTAGTCTTTAAAGAAAGTAGCTCCCATGCATACTATTGGTGTTCTTCAGGACAAATTACTGAACAGGACACTAGTTACAGAAATGGGCAATCACCCAACAGCAACTCTTCCTCCCCACCAGCCACTCTGTTCATGTCCCAGATCCTCCTGGGTGGCCCAGGGGAGGAAGTAAGAACTCCTATAGGCATATCCGTTTGTCATTTCTAGTAGGGATTCAGTTGGTTTCCTGAGGACTGGAAAGAATGGCAATGAGTGGGTACAGGGAGGCAAATGACAAAGTGAATACTGTTCTAACAAGGTACAGGAGCCTCAGCTTGTTTGGCTGCTCCTAAAACACTGCCTCAAGACCAGAAAATGTGTGCACAAGCATTTTCTGCTGCTGCACAGGTATCTTGCCTTTTCTTTTTGTCTGAGCAAGAAACATGATGAAGGAAAACATGTGGAGCTCCATTTGTTCTCTATTGTAGCAGAGATTATAAAGCCAGGTAGATGACCCATAAAGCCAAGAGGAAGAGCTTATTTTCATCATTGTTCCTACTATCTCTTTTGTTAACCTACAGGTTAGAATATAAGAGGAGTAGTTTTAGGGATCTATTTTTAAAAATCTATTCAATACATTTCTGAAATCTCCTCTGTTTACTCATCACACTGTGAGCTTAAAAGTCCACTTCCTACACACTAATTTGTGGAAATACTCTTTCCTAAATACCGACAAGAATTGCTTTCAACACAAGATTCTAGAAGGGACCTTTGCTCAAAATGCAATATTTTAATGTTCTAAATGGAATGGGCATAATTCATCTACAGGGATGAACTAGAATTCTTAGTAAGAAATTATTTTAATAAGGATGATGGCCCAAAGAAAATCATAGCTACTAATCATAATTGTAGTCATAATTTGTGATTACCAAAAAATATTTACTGAGCCTCTATCTTGAGTTTTGCATTGTGTTGGTTATTACTTTAAAAGAGAGTTACCTCTAACAGCAAGTTGAAAGTCCATGGTCTCCATTTTCAGAGGTGAACTTGCAATGCAACTGTAGGTTCCGTGGTCAGATTTCCTGACTTTGGTGATTGACAGCTGAAAAGACTCCCTTGTCTGGTAGATTTGGTGATGATCTTTCTCTAATATCAGGATGCTGTTGTTTTTGTGCCATATCATGTGAGCCTGTGGGTTGGATTTCACATTGCAAACCAAGTTCACATAACCGTCTTCCTCAGCTGTTTGGAAGTTGTCTCCACTCAGGAGAGGAGGATCTGCAAGACTCAAGCATTTTAGGGTTAATTACAAGAGAAAGAGTAGTTCACTGTCACTATTCAAGGTCTTCCTTCAATCTATCTCATGTAGTTACTCATTTGACAAAAATGTCTTGAGTACATACTATGTGCCATGTACCGAGATAGAAACTAGGTATAAAATGGTAAATAACATATTCCAGTTCCCAACCTCATAGAATTTTTATCATGGTAAAAACAAACCATAAAGCAGTATATGATTATGAACATAATATATATGATAACAAATCAGTAGCAAACAGACAATTGGTAACACTACTTAAGAGTATAAGACTTGTTTCTCTCTAAGAGTTAATATAAACCAACCTATCGTAAGGTTGAATAAAATAGTACAATACTAAGACGATGGACACTGCAGTCAGCCCTATTCTATCTGCACCACTTAGTGTGTGATCTTGAGATACCCAAATAACTGTTAAGCCCTCAGATTCCTCATCTTCCAAAAATGAGATAATAATACTGACTTCATGAACAGCTCTGATAATCAAATGAAATAATCTCTGTGGAGAATTTAGTATAGTGCTACCTGCTATTGGCATTGAGGTGATAGTGGTTTTGAAGGCTACTCATACCTCCTATTTTTACATTTTATCTATCCAAGTTTGCCGTGGCTACGTATTTAGTAACCTACATTTGCATTTCTTCCTTGATCTTCCAGAAATAAAGGCCTCCTCTCAGGAGGTGTTCCAACTGTGACATCTCTGACATCAGCAGATTAATGGATCCCTCTCTAAGCAACTTCTTACTCCTTCCAGGATGAGAAGAGTTGTAGATCCATAGACAGATACATTCATCTTTGTCAAATAATTTCAGCTCTTACCCTAGCAAGACTCTCCAGTATCAAAGAGGAGAAATAGCTGCGCTGGCTTTCCCCTCTACTCTATGTCCTTAGCATTTTTGGGCAAAGACGCAGATCAATAAAGTAGTTAAAGAGTGAGTGGGCAGTAGGAAGGAGGTAGATGTGAAGGAGAAAAAAGGAATTTGTATAATTTGCACACTGAATAATTAGACCCTGAGTAGGCTGCACTATTAATAACTTTCTCCGAAGAATGACATTTTGTTGCTCTTTGGAATGAGCTTGAATTCTGTATCCATATCCAACAAGGTTGTTATATGGTATTCAGACATGTAGAAAGTTGCTGGAGTGGAGAACATAATTGCCAAATAGAACAGTTCCATTTGTGGGCTGATCTTATTAGTTATTGAAAATGTTAGCTATTTAAAATAATGTTTAGCATGTCAGCTACATGAGAATATTCCTTTGTAAAAGAAAAATCAGTACATTTCAGATTCTCTTTTATTCTAGCTTGATCTCATCCTAATCTGCCAGAGATACTGCTGCTATAAATTTGGGATAAACCCTTCCAGATCTTTTTGCTTTTGTTTTTGTTTTTAGTACTGGGGATCAGTCTTAGGACCTTGTGCTTGTGAGGCAGGCAGCAGAACCACTGAGCTAATCCCTGGCCCTTCCAGATCTTTTTAAAAGTTTTATAGGGCCGGGGATTTAGCTCACTGGGGCCGCCACCTGCCTCACAACTGCAAGATCCTGATTTCAATTGCCAGTTCCAAACAATAAAAAGTTAATTAAAAATAAAAACATTTTATATACCAATAGTATATGACAGGTTTTCCAGAGCTCAGTCTCCCAGTATTTGCTCCACTCATGAAACTCAGGGGCAATGGCATCAGTTTTTAATAGAATAGTCACCTGAGCTCACTGACTCAAGTGGCTTTGATTTTATTACTACATTTCAAGACCAGAGCTCTCCTTCTAGATCATACCATCTTTCCACTTATTCCACCTCCTGCATTGCAGTATCATCCACATGTCCCTCATGCACAACCATCTTCCTACCCAGACAATCCACATAACCACCCATGTAGTATCATTTGACAGTCTCTAATCTAAGTATATAATTCTGTCAGTGAGAGACATTCAACTGAACATTCAAAGTGCTTCATCTTTTGGGTTTTTTGTTTTTGTTTTAATTTTTGAGACAGGGTCTCACTATGTAGCTGAGCCCAGGCTTGAACTCACAGTGATCCTCCTGCCTCAGCCTCCTGAATGCTGGGATTACAGGTGTGCACCACCATACCCAGCTACCATTTTGGGTTTTAAGGTAATATTAAATGATCCCCAGTACAGGTCTTCCTAAACGGACTACAAAAGCTAGGCACAACAAAGGAAAAATCAATAATCTTAAATATGTAAACATTAAAGTCTTCATTATGGTGGCCCCCTGAAACACTATAAAAGTGTTTAGAACTAGGTCATAGCTCAGTAGTACAGTACTTGGCTAGTATGCTCCAGGGCATACTGAGATTGATTCCCTAGCACTGAAAGAACATTTTTCAAAAACAAATAGGAGAGCTAAGCATGATGGCTCCGCCAGTTTAAGGCCAGCCTAGGAAATTCATTGAGACCTTCTTCTCAAAATAATAAAAAGAACTGAGCTCAATATTCCCTGGTCTCAATCCCCACTACTACAAAACTAAATAGGGGAAATACTTGCAATCCAAACTGGCAAAGAGCTAGTTCCCCTAACTTATAAAGCCTTTGTACATGTTAATGAGAAAAAGACAGATATCCCAACAGAGAAATGGTAAACCCATGAGCAAGTTATTTCATAGAAAAGAAATACAAATAGCCAATACATTTATGAAAAGGCAAATGCTCTCATTCTTAATTTTAAAGATGAGTAAAATTTCAAATGCAATTAGCAGATACTCAGTGCTGGAAAGGATATGGAGTATATGGTAACTGATTTTTCTGTGGGAGCATAAAAAGGGCAATCTGACAAAACCAATGCCTAGATTGCAACTACCACTTATTGTAGTGCAGACATTATAGATTGACTGCCAGTTTCTTTTCCCTTCACTCACAAGTGACATTCAGCACCACTGAGATGGACACTGTCTGATCACTCTGCAGCTTGCAGGTAAAGCTGACCCCGTTGTCATTTTCACTGATAGAAGAGACACAGACAGAGCTCGCGTTGACTTTGTTTCCAGATTTCAAAGCCACTCTCCCTTCTTCTCGGTACCAGAGGAGTTCTTCATCGCTAGTGTGGCCATGAACAGCACATTCCAGAGATTCTTCGAAGCCACGTTGTGTGTCCAGGATATAGTTCTCAGTTCTACCGTTCACAGTTAAAACAGAACCTGGAAGTACAGAGAGAACTATTAAGATATGCAGAGTGAACAAGCTAGTGCTTGCTTCGGCAGCACATATACAGAGTGAACAAGCTAGATATCTATTGGAGGTTGGTTATATTACTTCTGTTTCATCAGTGTAATAAAATGAACTCTCAACAGTTAAAACTTGTCATTTAGAGCTATATGATTTACAGACAAATTGACCCATAATGTATTTTTAACTGAAAATTTAAAAGGATACAAATGATAGTTACCAAAATTTGCTACCCATTGGAAACACCTGGAGATTTTTTAAAAATCCTGATACCAGGACCTCACCCCCAGGAATCTGATTGACTAATATGAATACAACCTCAGCCTTGGACTTTTTAGAAGCCTGCCTGGTGGTTCTAATACACAGTAAAGTTTGAGAACTACTGGATTAGAAACCAAAATGTACGAAATAGTTCTGGAATGATTATGGAAAAATCACATATATATTATATAATATATCTAATGTATTATAAATTAAATATAAATATACAATATATATCATATAATATACATAAATCATATATTTAA